TTGGGGATAGAAATAGCGTCTCCCATTTTCCAGGAGCCAGGCAGGCTGCCGTTTGCGAAGGAGTTGTGGATCATCGTTCTAAGTGTGCCACGCGCAACGGGCACGAGACGGTGCAGGAATTCATTCAACATGTCGTCGGGGCCAGGGGCTGAGCCAAGCAAAGAGTCACGGATGGTTACGTCAAGTACATACGGCGGGAAAGGCCGATCCATTTCCCAGCCACCAGGAACCAAAGGAGTGCAGCAAGCAGCAGCAGCAGTATAAGGCGGTATGGCACGTGAAACCGCACAAAATGACGGACAAGCAGATTTGCCTGTTGCCGAGGCAGGGCGCATACGCGGCCAAGCTAAGTGCGGAGCACAACCGATTCCAGAGGATGAGGGTGCGGCGCCGCCACGCCGTGAAGATATCGCCACCTCGGGCTGGGTGAGGCTCCAAGTCTTTTCGCGCGGGCTTCCAGAAGCACAGCGGAGCCACGGCGTAAGGCTTGATTTCGTTCCTCCCTTTTTCGGGTACATTCGACTCAAAGTAGGCTGTCTCCGGGTGAGGCAATGTGTGTGCTTCGTGTGCTGCTTCGGCGGCGGGCTCGGCCTGTTCCATTTCGTGTGTCCATATCTTTTTGGAGCTGTCATGGCTGCCGCGCGGGATGTGGCGCTCAGCTGCTCGTAAGATGCCTCCGCGAGGATCCTACCATGTGGACGCGGTGGCAAGGAGGGTTTCACACAACGATGTAAAAGCAGGCCAATCCGCTTTACGCAGGGCAAGGGTGGCTTTCTTCCGTCAAGGCAGCGTGTTTGCTAGTCGTGGAGTGCCATCGTCCATCTCTACCAAGTAAGATATTCAGCAATGGTCCGAGTTCATGTAAGGGGCGAATGTCCAGTGGGAGATGCGTAGGGCGCAATACGCAGCCACGTCAGGGGACGAGGCATTGCGATGTGTGATCCGTGTTGCCTGTGTCGGGTAATTTGCCAGCCCAAAATCCATATCGATTAGAACAGCGGCGAAATCATCGCCTCCATTCCTTGATGGTATATATGACTGTCCCAGAGTTCACGATGCAAATTCAGGTCACCCGCGATAATCTCTTCGGGCACAAGCGACAAACGATATTGATAAATGCGGATTATTGACCAATTGCTGTGGGAGGGTTGTAGAGATTCGCCACGCAAATGCTGCGACAGCCCGGCGGAAATACACGGACAGCAATGGTCTCCAGGAGGTCAGTGCCAGGGAGCGACAAGCGCTCGCACGGTAGAGAGTGGCGCACCAGAACGGCAACGCCACCACCGCGCCCAGTGAGGCCTGAAGGCAGTCATTATGGCCACATAATTTCGTCGCCACGCCACCACGGTTACTTGTTTCCTGCAGAAGAACGGTGTCAGGTGGACGCTGCTCCAATCGCGCCGCAAATGCAATATTTTTCACGGACGAGAGGCCTGCAATGTTGAGCTGCCAAATATTGTTGAAGCCATCCTCCTCGGTGGCAGGGCTCTTGTGAACGTCACCGCAACGGGTGACATCAACGGAGTGACCGCTGCGAAACGGTCGTGCAGTTCTGTCCGACAGTCTGCAGGCAGACCGCCTCACCTCCCCACACCGGGCATGGCGTGGAACCTTCTCGGGGAGTGAAGTCACCTTGGTCTCCGTCGTTCTCGCAGCAACGCCCTGCTGCGGAGTTCCTATACGCAACCAGAGCCCCAGCACCGCGACAAGGTGCAACGTCATCGCCGGGGACCGTGGATACTTACGAAGAATAGCGGTGTCGGCATTCCCAAGTCAGCCGGGATTGGCATACTGCTCTCATCCCCGCATTCCTCGAAGATAATAGAGAAGGTCAGTACCAACGGCGGCACACGCCCATGCAGCCGCACGACGGAGTCCCGTGCACTGCTCCCGGCCATGGAAAGGCTGAGTGTCCCTCGTATCCAGCACAGGCAAAAACCCTGCTTGTGGTTACGGACAGCCAGTCTCTTCTAGCCGCCGTCACCAAGGGCCCGCACAGTCATACCGACTGGACGGAGGATCAGATCTGGCAGCGTCTCTTGTCGCTGACGCGTGCCGGCTGGTCCGTGCACCTGCAGTTTGCTACGAACATTGCGGAGTACACGTTAACGAGCCTGCAGATCATTAGACGCAGACCACGGCAACCGGGCAACACACGGAGCATGGAATAGCACCCATACGGCACACGGATCTGCTTTCATGCATTAACACCCAGCTCACCAACAAGTGGCGTAGTACCATGCATCAGGACACCCACCACTACCTGCTTGGCGGCGCAGGACATCAGATCCAGGCGGCAAGCACCTGATCACTCAGGAGGCCCTCGACTGACAGGAACGGATAAACACTGCACGGGAAGGGTGTGGGGAATCCGAGCTCTGGGGTCGCCTGTACTGGACTGTGAGAGACTGCACGAACCAACGCCGTTTCCGCAACGTATCACCGGAACAGTCTGCTTTCATGCGCTCCAACGACGATCCCACCGCACCGGGACGGAAGCTGTTCCCCCGACGACAAGGGAGGCCGACGCACCGCCTGTGGAGAGACGGCCCTCCACACGCCGTCGGAAGAAGAAATGCCCGCACTGTGACGCCACATTGGTGGGACACACGAACCACATCGGTCACTGTCGGTGCTTTCATCCGGAACGCCCACCACCGCTTCCCGACCTCCACCGCGATTGCTGCGACACAGTCCTCCCCACACAAAAAAAGCACCGCACAGCACAGAAATCGCTGCGCACACAACCCAGACGCTGATCGGCACCGCAGCAGCAGTGCCAGGAGGCAATCACTGCTACCGCAGGATCAGCCAGCCTCCACAAGCGCAACAATTAGCCCGCAGAAAACACTGCACCATCTGCTTCCGGAATGTACAGACGCTCTGGCTGTGCGCCAACGGCTGGGCATCAAGAAGGACCTTGGCACCGAAAGCTTCTCCCAATGGCAGCTGCCTCATAGCAGAAAACTCATGTCGCTGCTCGACCATCCCCTCGGCACCCTGATGACATCGTGTGGCTAGACATGTCGGTAAGAGCAGGGAAAAATAATAATAATGAGCATTCCCGCCACTATAGAGACGTGGTGCATCTTGCGATCTCGCTGGCGGCTCTCCTCTTCCACCGCTGTTTTTGCGCAGGAGGTCACCACAGTCATTTTTGTGGTTTGGTCGGCCTCGTGTTGTGCTCCGGGTTCTCCTCCTTCATCGCCCTGCGGTGCTTCCTTCGCCGTCCCTGGCACCTGTGACTGTCCCGTGACGGTTTGTTCCGAAGCCCGACTGCCCTGGGAGGTCCTCCCGCCACCAGCATGCACTCCACCCGCTGCCTGCTGAGATGCGTCGGAGCATGGGGATGCTGTGCCTGCAGCGTGCCCTCCGCCCAAAGACTCCGGTCCACTTGCACGCATCCGAGCAGCAGACGCGCTGCCAGTGCCAGACGGATTGCAAGTGCCACTTCGCAGTGGGTCGCTGCTGGATTGGTCCTGCCTCGTCGGTGCAGTGAGTGCTCCTCCCGAGGTGGGATTGGGGTCCTCACCCTCAATGCTTCCCCCACCCTCCTCGTCTTCCTCGTCTTCCTGATTGCTATTGCCCTCAGAGTTCACATTCCCCCTTTCGTCCAGAGCCACCGGCCACAGGTCCACCTTCCGCAGCCATCACACCCCGCGCGTGCCCAGCAGTCACCGCGCCATCACCCGCGGCCGCACACGCACCCCGTCGCAGCAGCCCTCACTCACACGCACGAGCAGCTGCGCATCACTGCAGGAGCCAACAGGACGCAGAGCACACGGCCAGTCATCATCACGAACAGTGGAGTCGCCTAACGCTGCGGAGCCAACCTGCGATAGCATGTGAAAAACAAAGGGAGACACAGCCGCTACACCACGCACAGCCACAAATGATGGCAGCACCCCAGCAGCAGCGCACACACCACGAGACAGATGGAATCAGTAAGATTGCAGAGCTCGCACACCGCACCGCAAACCACAAGTTAAAAAGCAATAAAAAACAATAATTAAAAAAAGAAATTAAAAAGAAAAGAAAACAAACCCAGGGCTCCAGTGCGCATGCTTGTGAGTGTGTCCGCGATGCGTTCAACGTGACGGATGCGGGGCACAACGCGGAGCACACAGCACGGCAGCAGAAGCAAGTAAAGCAAAACAAGATCATTATTTCCTCTTATTTTATACAGTGAACCACAACACACGCACACAAATCCCCGCGGTTGAGTGCTGGCACGCACAGCCCGCACACACCCCTTCAGCCCAGAGTGGTGTACGCCAGCGCGGATGCGGCGAGCACCAGCGGGGCACACACCCACGCAGAGCTGCTGAGGCTGCCGTCGATTCTGCGAAGACGTGACGGTGCGCTGGTGGTCGACACAGCTGGCGCCTCTGTAGTCGTAGTACTTGGTGCCTCTGGTGCAGTGGTGGTCGTCGTGGTTGGTGGCTGTGTTGTGGTGGTCGTTGTCGTAGTCGGTGGTTTTGTTGTGGTGGTGGTGGTCGTAGTCGGTGGTTTTGTTGTGGTCGTCGTCGTGGTCGTATTGGAAGAAGGGGCGGCGGCTCCAGTTCCAGTCTGAGTGCCTGAAACGCACACGGACGGGCAGAAGCACAGGGCAAGCACCAACAGGGCGCACAGCAGACGGCACGTTATCATCATCGTGAGTGTGGTCGTTCAGTGGTGTGGAGCTGATCTGCACAGTGAGGGAAATGGAGAGCAGCAGGGGAGACGAGAGGTGCGGCAGACACACACAGAGGGCACACCACATGAGGAGAGGGCAGCAGCCAGGCATGCACCGTACGCCGCACACCACGCACGACACACACTCCAATCCACGGCAGCAGGCACACACACACACAGCCCTGCACTCACTAATACTTGTGTTGTACAATTGTTATGGTCAGTACATGCGGTCACACAGAAAAGGAGCGAGAAAAGAGGAGACCACTACGGCTAGACATCAGACTGTAGACTACCAGAGGGTCGAAAAAGGCAAGAGGGCCGCGCCGCGTCGGCAGTCGGTGCGTCACTTGTCTGCGGACCAGGCGTCGTGCGCGATTGGTGTCGCTCATCGTGAAACATACGTCCTCGTAGCCCCAGAGGGTGGAACATCCAACGCCAACCCAAACACCGCTGTCAACACGCCATTGCCACAATCGTGAAGAGCCGGCTGGCACCACGCACGGCAAGAAGGACACACCAAGACACGCCATGCACCAAAGGGGCGCATCAAGCCCGCAAACAGTGCGCACCGCTCCAACACCGCAGGGCCCTCACGCACGCACCATCCTCCTCCTTCCTTATGTTCGGCTCATTGCCGCCACATCCGACACCCGCACCTCACAATACCAGAGGGAAACACAAAACAGCTGAAGCAGCAACAACAACAAAACTGCCACCTTGTTGCGCTGACGCCACTGCACGAAAATATGCGCCGGCGACGCGAGTCCATAGCGCAGGAGACGGAAATGAGCCCAGCGAAACACCCAAGAGCCACACGTTGGCAGTCTTGTCGGGGCTGCCTCAACGCAACCACAACAAATAGTGCCGCAACCACGGAGCCATGCACCCTGACCCACAGCGTGTTTTCACAATCAGAACAGCAGGGACAGAAGGAATTAAGACACACTACCCACAGTGCAGCAGAGCACCCGAAACACACACAGCCAATCAAAAACGGATGCAAAAAAGCCGGGAAGGCAAAAAAATAAAAAGGACGCATGCAGATTGAAAGCCGAAGCACAGAAATTATTTGAGGTCCACATTCTCGCAATGACGCAGACGCAAAAAAAAGCAAAGTCACAAAACCAAGCAAAAGTGTAAAAAATAAAGCCGCATGCACCTATTACGGAGGGAGAGGCATTCGTCCCTGTCCTTCAGAGAAACAGCTGCTGACACGCCCTCGCCTCCATTGGAGCACATTTCCTTTACTTTTTACTCATGATTAGAGTACGGTGATTTCCCCTCGTCCCAATCGCACCAAAAAACGCGTGTATACATGTGGTGCTGGGAAACGTCTTTTCTCTCCATGTTACTTCGTTCACACACAGTTTTCACGGAAGTTAAACCCTCTAAAAAAAAAACACATTTTCCCAGAATAACAAACAATGCAATAAAAGACCGGTCATTTTGCCCATCGCCCGCAAGCAACGAAGGACATGGGGAATGCAGTGAGTGTATTATATTGTTATTGCTACGGTTTGCACGTCTTGAGTGCGGGGTCAATGTGCCAAGTAAATACTGTCGCCCTGCCGCAGTTTCATTGCGCCCAGCCGCCGCGGCTGCTCAAAGAGGCACCACCACTACCGCCGCAGCAACCACAACAAGAAGCACAAAGGGAACGAGGCCAGCGGTAGCAGCAGCTACACAACAATCACTGTCGGCCTGCTGTACCAACGCATCGGGTATCGCCTGAAAATCGTCGCTGTTGACGGAAGGAATCGGAGTGGCAGGCGCGGAGGCACTGGGAACCATCGCTGGGCAATCCGCCCGCGGGTCGCCCTCCGCTCGTGCAACGTCCTTGCCGGGCGATGGCGCAAAGAAAGCGTCGCGGCCGGAGGCTCTGTTGGCTCCCTCGCTTCCACTGCCAGGTCTCCTCCCTCGCCGCTGAGTGTTGTCCTCACTTTCGGCCCGCACCCCCGGATCACCCCTCGGACCGGCATGAAGGCCACCACCAGCGACACCCGCAGCCGAAGCACCGGGAGGCTCCTTCTCAATGGAGGCACCAGACGCCACAGGAGACAACTGTGGACGAGTTTCTCCGGAGAAGGCGACCCTGAAGCAACCGCAGACTCTTCTGCTTCCTCCTCTTGCTCGTCACCCTGTCCATCCACCAACGCACTCGGAACGACAATACTGCTGCCGTTCGCGGCAATGGTGCACACCTCGCCGTAAGTCGGGGACTTGATCTTCCCACCTTTCTGAAAATCTTTCAACGCCACTGGGATGTCAGTGTCCTCAGGGCAAGGCTGAAACCCACTGCTGCCACTGTACTTCACCCTCACTGTTCCCTCCTCACACGACACCTGCGCGCACACTCCCTTGACGCTTTTATGGCCATCACCGTCCCTCGTCTCCAGTAATTCCGCATCCAGGCACCACGAGCCGTCGCCAGTCAGCGACCCAGGGAGAGAAGTCACAGTTCCGTCCGAGCACGCATTGTAAGTTGTCCCGGAGGATATTTCGTGAAATTCCAAAGAAACAACAGGGCAAACATCCTTATCCACCAGACTCCCTTTGTCCTCAACGATGGTTGCGGTGCACTTCCCGACGTGACGGCGGTCAGAGGTGCAGCGAAGAGTCTCTGTGCCTTTAGCATCGCAGAACATGTGAGGATACTTGGCGGCAAGATTATCGGTTGTATTGCACTTCTTCTCCAGGAAGTCGCAGCCACTGCGATGGCCCCAGCTCATCGGCTCCGCCATCCTCCAATTCACGCGGTAGTATCCCATATCCGCGAACACCGCCATCGTCGGAGCCGTGTAGTAGCCGGCACCGACTGCGGTGGCCCCAGCTCGTCCCGCGCGTGGCGTCCCTTCCAGTGAGGGACTTCTTTTTCCCGAAGGCCACCTTCGTCCTCCAGCTCCATGCCCTCGAGAGAGTCACAACCAAAGTGCGCTTCCGCCTTCTCCTGAATGTGCTTTCCTGCCACCATCCTGCGATGCGTCCCACGCATACTTCTCTCTCGTTTCTTCACCAGGCTCTTTTCTCTCATGCTCTCCTGGCTGAACCCAAGTGCGTGTGCAATTTCGTGCGCGGCAACGCGAACGCTCCACGCCATTTCAGTCATGTAGTTTGGATCAAAATTCATGGCGCCAATGGAAGGACGAAAATCACTCATTGTGTCACACGTGGCCGCCCACACAGCCCTGCCATTCGTGCCTGATGGCATAGCAGCAGCGTAGATGATAAAATCTGCATCAGGCACACCGTCACTCTTGTGTCTGGTAGGAACCGTAAAGTGGCTGCACGGTCCATTCACAGCCCTCGGTACAGTTATCGTCCCACCAGTGGGTTTCACAAGTAGCCGCTCAGCGTGCAGTTTGACAGCACCAGGTAGAATCTTTCCAGTGTACAATTGTTTCTTTGCCTCCGCCAAGACATGCTCTGGTGTGCATGATACCTTTTCCCCCAAGACGGTTTCGCACTCATCCTCTCCTTTTTCGCAGTACTTCCTCTTCCTTCTACCCGTTCCTCCCTCCAGATCCTCCGTGGACACCGCGATGCGGATCGGCTCCCAGTCACTGTCGTCATCCTGTGTGGCGACGGTGTACGCCTGCATCGCGCCCTGTCCCTTGCGCGGCACCTCACGCACCACCGCAGCCGACAGCGGGCCGCTCCTCTCCATCATTGCGTCAAACCCACAGCGGTATTGTGTGGCGGGAGCGGCGGCAATACGCCCACTGGCGCAGCACATCAGTAGCAAAATCACGAGTGGGAAAAGCGGTGTGGCGTGGCGTTGCTAGCGCATGACCTGAGGAAAATGCATTTTTTGGTTTTCGTGTGAGTAGCAGCAGTGCAGCCTGGCTGTGGGAGGAGAGAGGCAAAGAAAAAAGAGGGAGAAAAAGAAACAGTTTATTGCCAGTGATGCGTCGGGACGCGGAACAAACAGCGGAGTAACAGGAGACCACAGAGGCAGCCACACACCGCGTGCGCACCGACTCCATCAAATGGAAAAACCGTCAATCTGTCGTCGAGGGAACGTCCATCACCGTCGCACAGAGTCCTCATCGGCCACAACGCTCCCTCCACGCGGAGTGTTTGGTCCTTCCTCCTTGTGGTGTCGCAGTATTTGTGTGACCGGCCACTCAACAGCCGCCAACGGCACAGCACCAGTCCAAGGTGCTGGAGCATCGCACGGCGCGTTCTCCCAGCAGATCATGTCAGATGGCATAACCGCACGGCAACCCCAATTGTGATGCGCAGCCCTGAGGCGGAGATGCAAAGAGTCATGCGGACGGGCCTTTTTCACTGCTCTCCTTTCGGGGAACTCGACAACAAGCATGCCGGCGGTGCGATCATTATGACAGTTCCATCCGCACTGCCACTGGTCAAGGAAGTTACTGTGAACTCACTGCGTTGAGGTCACCGTGTCCGCAGCTGCTCTCCCGCCGCCCCACGACCACGCCGGCACCTCCAAAAGAGCGGATCGGAGCGTCGACAAAGGCAACCACAAGCGCCAACGCACCGAATCCAATGGTGCCCGCTGCGACATTCCAAAGCGCGCCGAGAGCTGCTCTAGCAGTGCAGGAGCAGCCCACATGCGTGCAACATGGAGTGTGTGTGCATTTGCATGTGCTTGTGTGTTTGGCAGCGCCTATACACGCAGAGCAGCTGTGCGCCACAAGAGAGTCTGAAGAAAGCAACGGCAGAGAGAGGCAGATAGCACACACGCAAATTACTCATATCACCACACACACACACACGCAGCCGCGGAATGGGTGCACTCAACCACAAAATCAAAAAGGAAAACAAAACAAAAAGCCGAAGCGTGGGACGACCAGCGCACACACACTCTCATTACTCCCGTAAAGCAAAACACACACACAGAGGGAGAGAGAGAGAGGTCGCCCACTCAATGCAATAAAAACAAAACAGAAACAGTTACGGTGCTCCGCCCATGCAGCCAGGCAGGACGGCAGCGGTGCGTGTCGTGCAAAAGAGAGCACCAACGGGCCTGCATGGGTGTGCATGCATATATACAATGGGCACATTATTGTGTGTGCTTCGTGGGATGAGGTGAGGGCGAGAGTCCATGCAAGGGGACACACACAAAGAGAGAGAGAAGGACGAGTGTGTGTGCGGGCGGTGCATGGCTCTCTCACACTCACTCTCACGCGGCCACCGCCGCAGCCGCACACGCAACAAGAAGAAGAAGCAAAAGAGGGGAGGTGGTGTGGGAGACCGCGGTGCTGCCGTCACTGTCATCTGTAGTCGCCTTTGTGGGTTTCATGGCTGAGGCTTCAACCGGTGTTTCCCTCGGATTGGCATTCATATTTTCATTTCTTTTTTCCTCTCGTTTCTCTTCACCATCAGCTGCTGAATCATTCTTCGGGATGCCGTCTTCAGTGGTCTTGTCGGTTTCATTATTGGCGGCATCAC